GAAATCCTCTGAATATAATCAGCATTTTGAAGTGAATATTGACTAAGAATTATTAGAAGAAATATTTACTATTATTTGGATCAATTCAAGATTGATAACTTTAATGAAATATGAACAAATAACAAAAATGGATTTACTAATTCTCATATTAAGTTGTGAAAACGTAATTCAAATCTTCTGACCTAAAACGACCTTTGACCTTGACGATGTGACCTGGAATTTGAGTCATATGATTTTTGGTACTTGATAACCCTCGGGTACAAGTTTCATGGAATTTGAACAAACACTTTAGAAATTATGCTAAAAATTCAAAATATTGATGTTGATGTCACAACAAAGTCTAAGTTTGCAGACCTGAAATGACATTTGACCTTGACTTTGTCACTCTAAAGACTAATCACATGATTGGTGATACTTGATAACCCTTATGTTCAAGTTTCATGGAATAGGAATGTATACTTTCAAAATTATGATAAAAATTCACAATTTTAACCTGATGCCACAACAAAGTCAAAGTTTGTTGACCGTAAATGACCTTTGATCTTGACTTTGTGACCTGAAATTCTTCCCGCATGATCGGGGATACTTGATAACCAATATAGTCTGAGTCTCATTGAATAAGAACTTATACTTTCAAAATTATATTTTTAATGATGCCACAACATAGTCTAAGTTTGTTGACCTGAAATAACCTTTGACCTTGAATTTGTGACCTGAAATTCTCCTCAAATGATTGGGGATACTTGATAACCCTTTAGTCCCAAGTTTCACTGAATAAGAACTTATACCGTATTTGCCGGCGATAAGGCCGCAGCGCCGCATAGGCCGCACCCCAACTTTGACATTTCAAAGAGGGAAAAAACGAAAAACAAACAAACAAACAGACAAAACAAAATAATCGTAATTTTCTCGTAAAACACTATATTTTGTTTAAACTGATACCAAATTCATTAATATTCTTATAATTTACCGGAAGTTTAGCTCAAAAAGTGATCGCAGGCAGATTTGGTGTCCGATATACCCCTACCACAATGTACGGTGTAATGCGAAATTGCATGAAATGGAAAACAAAATGGCGACTTCGGATGGATGCTTCGCTGCAGCTCCGTTAAACGGTCCCTTCCTTTACTTTTGCAATGCATTGGCACGAACTTAGATCAAGATATATCGGAAAATGTTGTTTAAGGAAGTTATTTTCGTCTTCATGTCAACAATGCAAGATAAAATTGTCGGTAAGATGTGTGGAAATGTCCTGTACCATAGTGGTATAGTTATTGTACCATTCGAAGTCCCATATGTGCAAATTTGTGCTGGTTTTGACTTCGTTTTTTTTTTTTTTTTTTTTACTTTTTCGCCGCAAAGGCCGCACCCCGACTTTTTTATATTTTCTCTTTCAAAAATACTACGGCCTTTACGCCGGCAAATACGGTACTTTCAAAATTATATTAAAACTTCAAAAACTTAACCTTACGTTCAGACTAGGAAACTTTAAATTACTAAAAACGTTATTATACAAGAATCTTATAGCTTTATGATGAATGATGGTAGCCTGAATGCAGTGTTGTTGTTGGAGTTCGTTTAGTTTACATTGATACTACATCTTCAGAGATGCCAACCCTATAGGATGGCTGTCAGTAACATTAACCATATTTGTCCGTAACCGTACCAAATGGGGGTCTTTCCGTAACGCAAGACCCACCGCAGCATAATTTTCACGCACAACACAGACACCCAATCACTCTTACTGCATTTCGAACCTGTGCATAAAAACATTTTTTAAAAATCTGTTTCCAGTCAAAGGATCTCCTCCTCCGGTACTCGCTCTTTTGAGTGAATCCATGATAATATTCAGGAAGAAAACACCTCGTTCAAGCGTCGAATGGCAAATTTGAATCCACAGTCAAATGGCAGAACTCGTATCCTACACACGCACACGTACACTCACCAGTACCACAGACACACCAGCCCAGGCCGCTAGGCCCGGCGTTCATGAACAACAACACACCGTATACCGCACTTGCAATGCGCCCGCTGAATCACCAAACTCTTCGCTACTATACTATGAATGGGTATTGCGGGCGCCGCACGCACGATCATCTACCCCCATGCTCCCCCCAAAAGGCACGACCGCACGTAGCATACTAGTATCAAAACAGTAATAACGGCGGCCGTGTTGTTTTGGAATTAAACAAGATGGCGGCGGACGGACCATGTGCGCGAAAGTGCCTATCCAGTGTAGTCAAATTCAGTGAACTTATGAGTAAATGCGTGCGACATGCAGCGCTGTGTACGGAAGCTATGTTAAGGCGGCATTCGCTATATTGTACTTTTGTTTATCGTTTGCCCGTAACCTTTTGATTGTTTACCGTAACGCCGTAACAAGAGCATTAAAACCGTAACAAATACGGCGAAACCGTAACGGTTGGCATCTCTGCATCTTTTAAAGCAGAATCAATGACGAAAATTACTACAGACAAATGCAAATAGTGCATATTTTCTAGTCAATAATGAAGCCTGTATAAAATTTTGTTAACCAGATCAATGTGTCATAAAACTACCTACATTTAAATTTTTCAATGAATTCATGTCTTGATTTTTCAGCTGACTGGTGTGATTTTCACTCAAATATCAATCCAATAATAGTATAACAAGAAATATGCACACAAAAAAAATTAATCAGGGAAACATCCATAATATTATCAATACTCTTTACTTTTCAATACCTGTCACATTGCATGTAATTGCGGTGCACGTAGGTTGATGACTCATGTATCTTATGGACCCCCAGCCATACATTATAAGAGCAGAGACAGAGTTAATTTCAAACCTACAGAAATCTGTACTACCAAGCTCCAGAGCATTATGTCAAGCCAATCTACTGTCTTATACTGATGCAACCATGGTCCAAATAGATCTACAGCACAGACATTGGTAAATATGTTCACACACACACACAAAATGACTTAAAGCACTGAAATTACAAGTGAAGTAGTAAGGTAAACCTCTCACAGGTGGTGAAGTGGTCAACACACGAACTTGAATGCTTGGTACAGAGAGAGGTGGGTAGGGAGAAGAGCTCAACAACAACGATGATGTAGGATGGATGGGCATGTGTGGGGTGAGTTATTACAAGGTCTACACAGTGAGACAGAGAAAATAGGCATACCGATGGTGGATACGAGCTCTCATCGCAATCAAACTTGCTTTAAGGTGGAGCCTGAACTAGACAGCGAGCCAGGCAATACCCTTACTCATCTACCTCTCTCTTAAATCAATATCCAAATTAATTTGGCCTGCAATCAATGCTTGCTGAGTGCTTAGTCCCAGCTAAAGCCATTACTGATGTAGACTAGCATGCTAATGAGCACTGCGGGTGCATCCAGCTTAATGCGCTCATTACAGCTGTTATATCACTGACAGATGAGCTTGTGAGGGGGAAAGGAAGAGAGGGATAGGAGGGGGTGTGTGTTGAAGGTACAGAAAGATAGTGACAGAGATATTTTTGTAGAATACAGTGTGGCAAGAGCAAGCAAAATAGACACACACAGAGAGAGAGAGAGAGACTAGAAGAATGGGTGATCGAGAGGTTAATGGTATTACACAAATATACAGGAGAGAGGTAATTAAGACTGAGAAAAAGAGACAGGCATAGGGATGGAAATGTTTCTACAGTGAAGAGGAAGGGAGAAAGAGATAAAACAAAAGGGGAGAAAAATTAAGAGGCATAGACATAAACTACCAGGGTATAACAAGTAATCAAAAGAGGTACATATAACAAATAAAGATAAAAAATCAAGAAAATGGTTGACTTGGTTACAAATTCATAGCAAACCGGCAGGGGCCCTACTTTCTATGCCATCTTCTGAATCCTTTCCAAATTTGAAAGGTGATACATATTTAGGCAGCTGGTATAACCATATGAAAAATGATTAGGCGCACCGTAACACACACTGAATGTACATAGGCTTTAAAACGCATATATTTAGTGTCAAATTACATCATAATTTTAGCGCAGAGTAAATTTCCTGATACGATGGACATGAAAGCAGTGGGACCCACTGACAGAAAGGCCTCTGTTTGCAATGGCTACAAAATAAGCACATTCCTGATATAAGCAATAATGAGACTTACAGCCTGTTCAGACTACTGTAGAATTATGAAAAACTCATGTAAAGAAATGTGTTATTAAGAATCAATGTCAATGAAAGGAGTATACAGACTAGAAAACATCATCGTTTAAAGAAACTGATTTTAAAAAGGTCAGTTGACATGACAGCTGGGCAATCATCAGTGCGCACTCTCGATAAGTTATAAGATGCTTGTTATATACAACGCTCAGACTAGAGCGGGACCCAGGTTCTATGAGATTTCATTCAAAATGATGCTCAAAAAGCTAAAAAAAAAAGCTTATGGACGTTCAGACTAGACAAAAATGTAATTACTTATGGTATATCTATAGGAGACTCTTATAGCTCCACAATGAGTGCTGGTAGTCTGAATGCAGGTTAGTTAACGGTACTATACTTGTATGAGGTGGTCGGTGAGGAGGAGAATAATGATGATGATGATGATGATAAATAATTATGATGAATATAATGTCACTTTACCATGTTTAGTACTCTGACTGTGTCCATGTTGTAATTTGACTGACTACGCCTCTATATGAACATGACATCAGAACAACAAGCCGACGCTCTGTAGACGTCATGTGCTTATTCATGGAGCTGATTTTCACTATTTTGTACTACGACTAAGGCTGTGCATAACCGTGTAATGAGGTACTCGAGTACACTCCCAGGCTTACAGGCAAATACTCGAATATTCGGACTAGGATTGAGTCGGTACGGTCGATCACACCGGGACCCGACCGTTGCCCTCGGGTCCCGGTTTCGTTTTTTGAGAACCGACGTTCCGAAAAAAATAATGAAATATGTAAGAAATTGCAGTTTCGCACACCACTAATATCAATCCACCTTAAAACTTAAGTATTTAATTGTTACCAATCATATTCTAGCTCATCCTGAATCAATCCGACTGCTTATATAAATTTAAATATGGGTTGCAAAGCAGTTCACCCAATGGGGTTTTGTTGCCAGCTCGCTACTGTACAGGCCGGGCCTCTCGGCAGGATTAATAAATCAGGTTGAAAGAAACATTCATGATTGAATAATAAAACGACTTTCTAAAAATAACTTCTTTACAACATACCGATCGAATAATTTTTAAAAGACAAAATAGATATTTTTTCTTTGATTTTGAACACCGCATGCTTCTTTTAAAAGCTGAAAATTACTTGGTAATCACAAGAAGTTTCGATACGGATAGCTGTTGCAAGGCAAGTTCAGACTAGTCTCGGAAAAATGCGCAGTGCTCCTCGTTAGCTGGAATGCGTGCCAGAACGAACCCAAACAAAGACGTGATTGTAACAAGAAAAAAATCATTAAAAACTACGAGAGCACAATTGGAAAGACAACTCCTCAAAATTATCGTAAGCAGATACATAACTTGGAGGAAGAATACAATAGTCGTCCAAGAAAAGCGACATAAATAGTGATATTTAAGGAGTTACTATAGGTACAATCATTATCGGAAGGGCCTAGCTGCTGCGATATCCGAATTACACGTGTTTAAATTGAACGAAGCTAGAAACCAAATACCGCCCTCTGCGGTAAAAAGCAGTATAACAAAGGAATCGAGTATTTGCAGCGGGCCCCTTGCGATAAAAATCTACCCAGTTACTCCTCGATTATCACAAATTCTGTGGCATTTCTTGGGCGATCATTGAATTCTTTGTCCAAGTTATGTATCTGATTATGGTAATTTTGAGCAGTAGTTGTCTTTCCAATTGTGCTCTCATAGTTTTTAATGATTTCTTTCTCATTACGATCACGTCTTTGTTTGGGTTCGTTCTGGCACGCATTACAGCCAATTACGAGGAGCACTGCGCATTTTTTCAGAGACTAGTCTGAACTTGCCTTGCAACAGCTATCGAAACTTCTTGTGATTACCAAGTAATTTACAGCTTTTAAAAAAAAAAGCATGCGATGTTTAAAATAAGAGATAAATATTTATTTTGTCTTAAAAAAAATTATGATCAGTGTATTGCAAAGAAGAATTTTTTAGAAAGCCGTTTTATTATTCAAACATTCATATTTTTTGACCAGATTTATTCAACCTGCATCAATCAAAATGGCAGCTCGAATGTTGTCTTTCTATTTTTGCCCCAGTTTTTTTACTTTTAGAGGCACGATAATGGCACTAAACTTCGCCAATCATGGATGAAAATAATGTCAAATGGAAGAATATACCAAACTGAGCCGAGGTATGCATGTGTTGATTTATTTGATTGATAAAAAGGTCGCTTTTAAGGGACATACTGATGATATGCGCTTTTTATAGAGGCAAGTGACAAATCCTGCGAGCTGATTTCGGGACACCGGGTCCCGATCGGTGCAAGGCCGTCGGGATCCGGTTCATGAAAATCCCGACATGACTCAGGCCTAATTCGGACGCCATGTTATTTTTTTTTTTTTTTTTTGCCACCACATTACTACAGGAGAAGTATCCCAAGTCCGTATCCGAAAACTCAAACAATTTTACTTCCAGTTGCAGTTGAAGGCGCTGATTTAAAGGTAATACAAAGTTTTGGGAAAATTTGTAAATTGGGTGGATAGTGATTAAGTGACAATTTTGATATATTTGGATGCCCCTGTGGATGTATTATAAGCACTAGAAAATTTAGCTCCCGGTAAATTTTGATAAATTTCAAATAGCGCCTATGGCTGTACAATGGTAGCTGCGACCATGAAAATCTCGGAATATGTAGTTGGGATATATAATTTCCAAACGGGAATAGCTTATCGGTCGATTTTGGTCAAGAAACATTGTTTTATAGCTTAATTAATATCTTGACCTAGAGAGGGAGCTATACAACATATCAAGTTTATTATTTACAATTTCATAACTCTAGACTCGATTTCAACCGCGACAACAATCACTGAATATTGTAGGATCGCATATGCTTCCAATATGTTCATTTTAACCAAATTCATGAACCCATACCAAAACTTTGTATTACCTTTGATAATAATAATAATAGTAAATAATGCTGTTTTTAAAACCAAAGATGACAAAATAATCCGTTTTTCTCCCGAGTCCAAACAGAAATCCGGACATTTTGGTCCCAGTGTCTGAGTGGTGAGTTGACAGTGATTGAGCTGGGAATTTTTTTAACCCGCGGTACCATGCCGGCGCTGCCACCCGGGCACGGGTGGCGTCGGCCTGGACAGTGCCAGACACGGGCAAAACAAAATGGCGGCCGAATATTGGAGTACGAGAAATCGTACTCGAGTAGTTGTTAACAGTGCGAGTGCTCGAGTATTCGACTACTCGTCGCAGCCTTAACTATGACTGAACCAAGTTTCACTTGATTGACTGCTGTTTATACATAAAATGACGTTGACACAAAGCTATGACAATTTTTTTGAAGATATTAAAAAAATGTCCGACCAACGTTGTGTCGTATTATAGTTGCAGTGTTGATTTTCACTGTTCATAAATTTGCCAAGTTTCAAGATTTTTGAGATGTCTATTAAAGAAAGTGGGCGGGGGAAGGGATATGCAAATACACATTTTTCTAGGTCTAAGGATTTCAGGAATCATCCAGAAATTATTCTGACCTATCAAATTTTCCAACTTGATAAAGAAATCATATGCCAGTATACACTTGTATGTGAGATGAATTTGAATGATTTTAAGCGATTTGAAATTTTGAGCCTGTACTGATGCATGGATATACCGTGTGAGTCAAAAAAAAGTTTACACCTAGAAAATTGCTAATTATTTTTTAAGTAATCTATGAACAGTAAATTATTATACATCTTATGAAAGAGTGTTTTATTCCAAATCATTTGGTACCATTTTTGTGTGGTATGCGTTCACGCTAAGGCTGCGACGGGTAGTCGAATGCTTGAGTACCCGCACGGTTGACAACTACTCGGGTACGATTTCTCATACCCGAATATTCGGCCGCAAAAAAAAATTAAATTAAAAAAAAAATAAAATGTCCAGGCCCACGCTTACCCGTGCCAGGGAGAGCGGCAGCCGCTGGCATGGTACCGTCGGTAAAAATGTTTCCCTACTCAAGCACTGTCAAACTCACCTTTCAGAAACTGGGACCAAATGTCCAGATTTCTGTTTGGACTTGGAGGAAAATGGATTATTCTGCCATCTTTGGTTTTTAAAACAGCATTATTTACTGTTATTATTCTTATCAAATCAGCGCCTTCAACTGCAACTCAAAGTAAAATTGCATGCGTTTTCGGCAAGGGACCTGGGAAACTGCCGAGTGGTATGGTAGTGGCAACAAAAAAAAAAAGATCAAAAAATCAAAAAATTCAAAAAAAATCAAAAAATTCAAAAAAATTATTTTAAAAAAATGGCATCCGAATATTCCGTGTATTCGCTTGTGAGCCTGGGAGTGTACTCGGGTACCTCATTACACTGTTGTACACAGCCCTAGTTCACACTTGGATGAACAGGTGGCATTGTTTGCGAGAGTGCAAAAATCGACTTGCGCCAAAGTGATGCCTTCAGTATGTATTATGTTGGGATTAGTGGAGTGAGAGAATGGATTGAATGTATCAAATGAAGTGCATTGCATATGTTTTTTGCAAAGGGCAAAGTCACACCCACCCACGCACACGCGCACAAATGTTCCTTGATATTTGATATTCGATATTTGATATGTGTGGCATGATTAATTTTGTTAGGGGTGTTATTTGGATCTGCAAAGACCGAATTAATACCCAAATCCCAATTGTTTTATTCAAACATCACATAGGCAACTTTGGCGCAAATCGATTTTTGCACTCTTGCAAACAATGCCTCCTGTTCACCCAAGCGTGAACACATACCACACAAAAATGGTACCAAATGATTTGGGATAAAACACTCTTTCATAAGATGTATAATAATTTACTGTTCATAGATGATTTATATAATAATTAGCAATTTTCCAGGTGTAAACTCTTTTTTGACTCACTCTGTACATGTATGAATGCTTTTGTGAAGCGGAAATTGTGCACTATGAAAATGAATTTAATCATGCCAAATGTGAAAAAGAATTGACTTTCTGTTACTGAGATACGACAATACGATTTTCACAAATGGGGCCTTGTGACATCATGATGACCTGATTACCTTGAAAACATTTTCTCAAATGGCCCGATGACTGTGCAAAATTTGAAGAAAATTGACAATGCCATTTTCAACACAATTTTTTAAACAAAAAAATGAGTGGTGAAATAAGAAATAAAAATTGAAAATAGGAAATTTTGACAAAATCAAAAGGTGATCTGTCAATGACGTCTAACCATTTGAAAATCTTGATTGGCTCTACTTTCGGGGAATATAAAAAATATTGTCCTCCTATTCGACTCAGGGCAATATGTTTCTGTCGAAGACAATGCCTTTCAAAAGCCTCCTAATAATCAAGGCCATCCAATATTTTATAAATGTTATATTTTTTCAAAATTGACATGATTTTTTTAATGGAATAAGCCAACGTACATAGCAATAAAATATTATCATCATACTGACACAGGGTGAGAGGGAACCAGATCAAGACGTCCAATACGCCAGAACAAAAACGTAAGGCGAGCAGAGTGAAAACACAAACAGGAGCACTATACACCACCACTGGAATGAGCATACCTCTACATGGGAGGACTTGCGTGTCATCTCTCCAGTTGTCTTGCTCATTAGGGCTCAAGCAGAAGCACTAAGCTTGCAAGAGATGTGTACAACAGTCTTCCTTAATGACTCTACCTTGTCCATCAGTCTTGCCTCATTTTACTAGTACATGGAATGCAATAATGCTCCTGCTCTTTCTATGAATAATCATCCATTTATAGCAAAAAGGAAGCATCTCCATGTAGTCTAAAGATTATCCTAAACCTTGTGATATCAAAAAAAGCAGAAAACCAAAGAAATCTATGAATTCTGAATAGTTGCAAACATTACCGTAATTAACGTTGTATAAACCGCCCTTGTGTATTAACCGCACCCCTCTTTTTCGCCCTTAAAAAAAAAAATAATAATAATAATAATAATTTGTGTGTAAGATCATTGATGTAAATTAAAAAACAGTAGGGGACCTAGGAAAGAACCTTGTGGTACACCA